TGGGTTAAGTCAGCATCCCACCGCTGTGAAGGTTCGACCATGGCATAGAAAGTTTGGACTGCCTCACAGGTGCCAAGGGCCCTCTCCCAGATGCTTCTTGGCTGCCCAAGGTCCCGCTATCTGGAGAACAAGAGCCACTCCACGGGGCTGCCCATCTTGCTTGCCAAGGCCCTCTGCCTGCAAGCGGGGAGCTTGGGACTTAGAAAGACTTCAGTCCACCTAAGAGAATGCACACACCGAAACTGGCAGAGCAGCCTCCAAAGAAGTTGTCAGCTTTGGGGAAAGAGGTGCTATCTACGTTTGTTCACTCAAGCCAACAGGAGTCTGATTCCAAAGACACTAAAAAGTTTTCAAAAGTTTTCCGAAGCCATGTCCAGTGAATGTCCTGATGCACATACTCCCCTCTCCTCCCCCTGCGCGCTCACACAGCCTCCTGGCAGCCCGCTCCGGGGGTCGGAGTCTCTGCAAACACTTTCCAGAACAAAACAGGCAACTGGCGGAGGGGCTGCCTTTTTTTCCAACACCGACGCAATAGCGAAAAGTGAAGCAGCGACAGGAAAGTGTGGTGATGTCGCCCCGTCCCTAGGTCCCCAGCGCTGCCCAGCGCTGCACCTACCCTGAGGCCCGCATGGCGCGGCGAGGCTGCTGCTGCCCCGGCTTCCCGCAGGCGCCGCGCTCCGCTTGCTCAGCTCCGTCCTTGGCTACTCCGGACTCGGGAGAAAGCAGGCTGCTCCCTCCCGGCCGGCCTCGCGCCGCCGCCCGCCCCGCTCTGACGTCAGGCGTCTTGGAGCGAGGGATACTGAGGGATATTTATGGCGAGGAGAGACTCTGGCTTTTCCCTAGGTGCTGATCCGAAGGCAGCAACTTTGGGATTTGATTGGCAGTTTTCACACTCGGAACTGAGGTGCAGGAGAGAGACCGCAGCCGGTGCAAGGCACAATGAGGGTCGTGTTCCCCACTTTGGCATCCAGCCCTTCTTTGAGGACTCACTATGTTTTGGAAGCGGATCTTGGTCAAAGAGGTGAAAGAGGTCACCTGAGCCGGGGTGCCCCCCACTTCTCTAGCCAACAGGCGTTGGGACAGGCAATGGACAGGGCCCCTTCCCTGGGCAGTGTGTGCCTGGAAGGGCTGGCAGAGAGACTAGCCAGCCTCTAGGGCGGGCTCTAATTAGAAAGCCCGCTGCACACCCCAACAACTTTCTTCTATGTGCGTGCATTTAAAAAATTTGTTTTTTATTAAATTACCTTCCATCCTCCTTGCCTCTCTGTGTGCCTTTTCCAACTCAGAGCTGACCAGCTCATCCCCATTGCTTATATACAGAGTTCAAACCGTGAACAGTAGCTTATTCATACTTTCAAACTTTGCATTTATTTAGTGTTTTAAAAAGTGGGATTCTGGGGACTTCTCCTTGACTGGACCAGAAATGGCCTCAGTCAGAGCAGCTCTCTCTAGAACCCACAATGCCTCTGGGGTGCCTATTTATTGTTGTGTGGATCGTCCACCCCCAGACGTCCCTCAGCAAACAAACAATGTCTCCAGCTCACCAGTCAGCCATGGCTTCCACATCTGTCCATATTATAACCACCATTATCCTCTCAACTTCCATCTCTCTTTGGGTTAGTTTTTATTTTTACAGGAGAGTGGCGTGTGTGTGTGTGTGTGTGTGTGTGTGTGTGTGTGTGTGTGTGTGTGTAGGTTACAGGACAACTGGAGTGAGTAGGCTCACGTTCCACAATGCAAGTTTCAGGACTGACCGACCCTTGGGCTTGGCAGCAAGCACCTCTGCTGGCTGAGCCATCTTGATGCCCTTCATCCGTCTTTTCCAATTATCGTCAATATTGGCCAGCAACATAGCAAACAGTAAATAAATGCAATCTATTATTGTTATTCTTGTAAAGAAATGGGTACGGGAAGTCAGGTGTAAGGGATTTATGCCTGGTTAGCTCGTTTACTGACCTGCCTCAGTGAGCTGTCTCTGTTTGGAGCCACCACAGGCCAGCCTAGCTGTGCCCTCAGAAGGAAGTGTGGCGTGAAGAAGCAGAGGCAGAAGGGAGCCTGGAAGGGAAACGGAATGGTCCCATTGGCACCTCCACTCTCCCGCGTGAGCCTGTGTCCGTAAGACACACAGCACAGGGAAACTTCTCTCCAGACAAAGCCAGGGGAGTGATGGGTTGAAAGAAGAGCCACTCAGCTGACTAGCAAGATGCTTCAGCAGGCCAAGCTGTAGACAAGTCTGAAGACCTGAGTTCAATCCCCAGGACCTACAGCATAGAGAGAGAGAACTGTTATCCATTGTCTTCTGACCTCCACAGGCAGACTGAGGCACATTCTGCCTGTGTGTGTGTGTGCACGCACACACAAACACTCACACACATACACACACAACAAATAAATTAATTAATTAAATTAAAATTCTTACACACAAAACAAATGAACAAATTAAAAATTTTAATTTATTAAAACAAATTTTAAAAACATTATTCTAAACATTAAAAAAAGATGTGAGATAGGACCAGAATCTTTAAGGGTAGTGGGTGTCAGGCAGGACAAGGGCGGGACCGGGGGAGTAAGGCTGAGGAGCAACAGAATGTTCCAGATGGGCAGTGATGGGGAGTGGGGTATCTGGTTCACCCCACCTTAGGAAATCTGACTCTGGTTCTTTTGGGATGGGTAAAGAGCAAGTAAAGCTCATTTTGGGTGCATTTTGGTGGTGTGCAAATATTTCTGAGGCTAGTGAGTTCTGAAGAGGCCTGTGATGTGGGATGGCCAAGGATGTCTTTGCACGCCACACCAGCGTAGGCACACCAAGAGTACTGATGGAGGTGGGCCATCCTGAAGGGCTCCCCTCTCCCAGGACTGCCCCCTGAACATCAACTGAGTCTCTCGAGTACACTCACTAGGATGCTTTTGCTTCCTCAGAGCGGGCAGCTCAGAACACCGTGAACTTCCAAAGCACATCTGTCACGGTGGGAAGCAGGCTTCTCAAACCCTTCCCTCTGCTCCCTCAGGGGGCAGAACTCACTTCAGACTTCAGCAGCAGTCGTCAAGAAGAGAGCAGGTGGTCTAAGGTAATAAGCGTGGGAGAAGATGAAGAGAACATGGGTGTTAGAGGCCCTGGGGGACCCCCTGTCATTCTCTCTGCTCCTCCACGCCAGACAGGAAGTCACTATGTAGCCCAGGCTAGACTCAGTCCTCCTGAGCCACTTCTGGGCCGCTTTGATACCAGTGTGGCAAGGGATGTTCTCAGGTCCAGTGTTCCTGAAGATCAACGTCGCTTGCCAAGTGGCTGGGCTGTGGCACCCAGCTGTCTGCTCAAGCACTATTGTGGATGTTTCCATGGGGAGCGGTTTTGAGATGGGATTAGTATTTAAATGGGTGCACTCTGAGGAGGCAGGTGATACCCCTCATCTAATCTATGAAGGCTTTGGAGACCCAGCCAGAACAGTGACTGAAACCTCCTCCTTCCACAGCCTGCTGAGGCTAAGAGAAGCCTGCTGGCCGGCAGGCAGCCTCTGACTTTGACTTACAACTGGTTCGGTGTTCTTCAGCCTGCTTGCCAACCATGCAGCCTGGGGACTCACCACACCTCCTCACAGGGTTACATGAACCAATCCCTCCCTGTCCTCCCCTCTCTCTTGCTCCCTCATCTCTCTTCCTTCTTTCCTCCCCTCCCCGTTCTCTCTCTATCCCTCCACACCTCTTTCTCCTTCCTTCCTTGTCCTTCCCTCCTCCCACCTCTCTCCTTCCCTTCTTTCCAGTCTCCCTTCCCCTCCCTCTCCCTCCCTGTCTCTCCCACCTCTTGTTCAGTCTGTTTCTGTGGAAGTTCTGCAGCCTGTGATGAGGAGAGCCAGAAAAACAGGGTTCCTTGCCCAAAGTGAAGACTGGTCCTCATTCCATTTCAAAGCAGTGCTGTAAAGGTCAAATGACTGAAAACAAAATCTCCCCCTCAGCTGGGTGTGAAAGCTCCTCTAGAAGCTCAGGAGGATTGAGTCTAGCCTGGGCTACATAGTGGCTTTCTGTCTGGAGTGGAGGAGCAGAGAGAACAACAGGGAGAGGGAAGGGAAACTGAGGAGAGGAGAGGAGGGAAGAGAGGAAGGAGGGAGGGGGAGGGGAGGGGGAGGGAGGGGAGGAGGAAGGGGAGGAGGGAAGAGAGGAGTCTCTTACCTCAGCAAGGTCTTCTGAGACTGAGATGGTGGATCACTTTTCAGACTTGGTCATTCGAGTCAGAACACACACGCTCGGCTGAAGGAGGCACTGAACTCTGTTACTGGCCATGTTCCTAATGACCAGAGCAGACAGCTGAGCCTGTAGAGTGCTTACCTAGCGTATGTGACGCATGGGCTCAGTCCCCAGTCCCCACAAATGGCACAGTGATGCATGTTTGTAGTCCCAGCACCCTGGAGGTAGAGGCAGGAGAACCAGAAGTCCAAGCCCAGAGCCATCCTCAGCTACACTGTGAGTCTGAGGCTCCATCTTAAAAAGAAAAAAAGAAGGATGAGATGACACTGTGAATAAAGGCACTTGTCACCACCCTGTGACCTGACTTTGATCCCCAGAATCTACGTGGGGGAAAAGAGAACCAAGTCCTGAAAGTTGTCTTCTGGCCTGCATCTCTCTCTCTCTCTCTCTCTCTCTCTCTCTCTCTCTCTCTCTCTCTCTCTCACACACACACACACACACACACACCACATTAATCTATTAACTAAAGGTGGTTAATTTATTATTTTATAGAGTGTAGGAGTCAGAAGCACTCTAAACCGGCCCAGGTTAGCAAGCATCATCACTCCCCAGTGCTCTGATTCTGGGGCCCCTGCTTTCTCTCAGTGACCCTCAGGACTCGAATCTCTGTTGGACAGGACATAACTGCACCTCCATTAGGTCTTATTCACTTCCAATGATACAAACAGAGAGGAAAGTCCCACCGCTAGCCTGATTTCTTCCTGCAAACAGGGCGGACATCGCACCAGCTTGAAGACGCTTCAGTCCTTCACTAGCTGAGCTGGAGCACGAAGGTCTCAGAGGTTAGCATTAGAATAACCTGAATTTTAGCCCCAGCTCTGTTTCTTGTTTTTCATTTATTTATTTCTCTCTGTGTATAGGAAGCATGTGTCACAGCCCACCTGTGGAGATGGAGGACAATTAGTCTGTTGTCCTCACACCGTGGTGTAGGACTTGGGGGTCGAACTCAGGTGGTGAGGCTTGGCCGCAACCACCCTTCCCCTGCTGAGCCACCTCGCCAGCCCCAGCCCCGGATCTGGCAGCTGACAGCATCATTGGCCCTCTCTACAGTACAGACTACAGGGGGGCGGGGCTGGTGCCAGGAGCGGATTAGATTGCGGAATATGTCCACATTGCAGACGGCCGTAATTCTTCCCTCCCTTCCTCTCTTTGCCATCTCCCTTCTCTCCACCTCCCCCTCCCCCCCAACAGCCACTTCTTCGGTTTGTTACTCAGTAAAGAGAGAATGCACTCAGCATGAACACTTGATTCTCCAGGTTCCAAACCTCCTGCTCTTTGCAAACCTCTGCCCAGTGTTAAGAAATCTCCCCTGGCCAGACATGACCACACCAAATAGGCAGAGATTAGAAAATTGTTCCGTGAAAGGCAGACTCCCTCGGAGCGAAGAACTGAATTTCTAGGTCTCCTTCTCAGGTTGTTTGCAGCAGCTTGGAGGGTCAGCTCAACTGCCTTGCCTACGTCAAAGCCCTAAGTGTTTAACCACAAGACACACAATCCTGGGACACCGTGGCGGCGGCCCTCCATTCCTCCCCCACATGCAGGCGGGCCACTTGTGTGTGGAATCTGGTATGTGTTCTCCCTCTGAGGCCAGTCAGGCAAACTCTGGCCCAGTGGACCACACCTGGCCAGATGTGGGATGGAATACCATCAGTGAGCAGAGCGATGGAATGGGCAGGAACGCACTAGAATTCTTTCTTGACATCCCTTAGACAAGCCACGAGCAGGACCCAAGGTCTGCAGGCTGGGGAAGCCAGAGACACGTGTAGCCTGAGGTGTGCATGTTATTCCTGGAACAGGAGTCTACACCCACATGGTCATGCGCACACTTTCAAGAGATCCCCATTTTCAGTAGCTCAAAGTCTTTCGAAAAGTAATGCTTAGTTTGTCTCAGGATAAAACAGGATTTTATAATATTTAAAAGAAAAAAAAAACAAGGCCGGGGAGACGACTCCATGGGTGGAGTGTTTGCCTAGTGAAGCCCGAGAACCTGTGTTTGAGTCCTAGATCCCGTGCTTAAAATAAAAGTCAGATACAACGATGCTTGTAATCCCAGCACCGGAGAGTGGAGCCAAGGAGGATCCCTGGATCTCACCTGCCAGCCGAGAAAACCAAATTGGCGATTTCCAGGTTCATTGAGAGACCCTGTCTCAAAACACAAGGCGGAAAGGAACTGAGGAAGGACAGGCAAGTCGGCTTCTGGCTTGCACATGCCATATTCATGCACACACATGTACCTACACTCATGCACATACAAACATGTACACACACACTTTTTCCATTGAAAAACCACTTGGGGTGATGACAATGTCCAAGTACCTGTGACTTGGGCTGGCACAGAATGCGTGTAGGCAACTGAACTGAGACTTCTGGGTAACCAAGGGACTCCAGGAGAAGTGTGATATGCTTCCTCTTTCCTTGGCCATGTCTTTTGAGGTGACTTCTCTTTCAAGTGACAGACTGGAGAGGTGGCTCTGTGGCTACAAGCACTCACTGCTCCTGCAGAGGACCCGCCTTCAAGGGACGCCATTCAGAAGCTAAGGCACTGTTGTGCGTCACCCTGAGAAGGCAGCTGTCTGCTTCCTCCTGTTATTTCTTTAGGAAGGTTCTACGGCAACCCGGCAACCGTGTCTCTCTGGCTGGGTTCACACAGTCACACAGACAGAGAGGAACAGAGAGCATGCCTTCCCAGCCCTCAGAAAGAGCACAAGGCATTTGCATACCAATTCCTCCTTCTCTACATTAACTATCCATAAATGCAGATTTTGTTTTGTATGGTGGGGAGGGGTTGGGATTCATAACCATCCAAATGTTTGCATTGAAGGAAGGAAAGAGAAAGATCAAAAAAGCCCTTTTCTAATGCCACCTGAGCAAAGCCTGGAGCTGGATGTGAATGAGATGGAGTTCCCATTCTTAAGCAATTCACGAAAAAGGTACAAAGAGCTAGGCATGGTGGCCTATTCCTGCATCACAGCACTCAGAAGGTAGAAGCAGGAGGATCCAGAGTTCAAGGCCAGCCTCAACTACATATCAAGTTCCAAGCCTGCCAGGGCTACATGCCTCAGAAAA